CATTCTGAGGAGCAAAAAGTTATTAGTTTATTCTTCTTAATTATCACAGACAAACTAGATCCTCTAGTCTTAAACTCTGAAAAATGTTCAATCATCAGGGACAGAGGGGTAGTCTGTTTCTGTCCCATTTCAACCTTCTTCAAGAAAACACAGAACGAACAAAAGACAGTGGCCACACACTAAAATGGACAGTACAAAATATTTGATGCCCAGAGACACCAAACCAGACAGCACAGATATCCGATACCCAGAAGAGATCTCGTTCCTGTACCATAGATTGGAGGGTCCTCTCCCCTCCCCAGAAGTGGGTTGCCCTTACCAGCAAACGCCCACAGCCTGTCTGTGAGCTGAGGAAGGGCACCTTCCCCCGCTCACCCGGTGCGTCCACCAGTGCCTAGCCTTTCCTGATGGACTAGTGTCTTTACGCAAAAGACGTATCTAGTCCAGCCGGCTCCAGTTCCCGAAACTCTCCTACTGTCGTAGGCAACTTCACTCGATCCGAATCCTCCCTTCCCGGCCAACGCACCAAATGTTGTGCCCAAGTTATGAAGGAGTAGCTCAGCGCGAGGACCTTGACTTTCCGCCAGAAAAACCTTCCTGGTTTACACTGCCTGCAGGTTGAAGCCCAAAGTCTTTGCATGGCACTCAATTCATTCCATTTGGATCCAGCCTCTTTCCATCATCAACACCAATAACTAAGATTGAGCATTTAATATGAGCTACGCATTTTACTGAGAGCTTTATTGTATTATCTATTCAATTCTCACCTAACATTAGGGGTGTCACTTTCCTCATCTATAAAATGAGGACATTCCAAGAAAAGCACAGTGTCTGGCACATAGTTACCACTCAGTTAACAATGAGTTAACACTCTGCCATTACTCCCATCAGCCCTATTTTATAGGTGAGAATGTGAGATTCAGGGATATTAAGCAATTTGCCCAAGGCCACAACCCTAAGTGACAGAGCTAGGACCTGAATCTAGGAAGTCTGAGCTAAGTTGCTCCTCACTGTATTACTGAAGACCTGTGCTCAACTCAAAGACAATTTCTAGAGTTCCTCTTGATGAAGTCTCTAGGTCTTTGCACAAGCAGTTCCCTCTGCTGTTAGAATGCCTCCCCTCACCCTTCTTGGGAAAGAAGCCTCCTTCCCATGACTACCATGGGCAGAGGCAGTGACTCTCTCCTCTGTGGCCTCCTCAACAGACCTCTCTCCATTCTCAACTCACTGTCATTTAGACAGCTAGATCCCCCACCGTCCCCAGTTCCACAGTGTCCTCATTACCTCTGGCTCTGCCATGCCTAACCTGGCAAGAAGCAGATTTCTGAGGGTGTTTGTTGAATCTGCTGCAAGGAGCTCTGGTGGCACCAGAACTAAGGCACTTGACTGATAACCAGAAGGTTGGTGGTTTAAACTCACTAGCCACTTTGCAGAAGACTGGGCAATCTGCTTCCATAAAGATTCAGCACCTCAGAAACCCAATGGGGGTCCCTACGAGTCCGAATCAACTCAATGGCAGTGGGTTTTTGTTTTTGGTTTGAGAATCGACCATAGAGAGCCAAACCAAGAATGGAGAACCAATACCTGCTGGCAGGGGCCCCCCACTTGTTCTCATCTACCATGCTCCAGAGTGAGCACACTTGTGTTTTTCTTTGGCCAAAGTCTCTGTACCATTTGCCAGAACTTCCAAACCCTTGGCCCTGGCTCTCACTTTGCTGTCCTGGCTCCCCTCAAAGTCTTTCCAAATGTCACCTCTCAGAGGGGCCAACACCATCCAACAGCATGAGTCCAGGAGACTCCTCACCTCCTCAGTTCACTTAGTCAATATTTATTGAATGCCTACTTTGAACTAGGCACTGTGCTTGGCACTGGGTACAGAGCGCAGAGTACTCCAGGCATGGTCCCTGCCCTCATGGAGCTTACATTCTTGTGGGAGAGACAGTCAACCATTAAGTTAAGAAGCAGATGGGTATATAATAACAAAATCCCCATGAAGCAAATAAGGGCCTTTGAAATTAACATGGAGGGTTTAAGTACTGTAGTCAGTGAAGGCCTGTTTGAGGAGGTGACAGGCCAAGGCCTGAGAGTCTGAAGAACTCAGCCAGGCAAAGAGTAGGGGAAGAGCATTCTGGGCAGAGAATAGTAGCATATGCAAAGTCTATGGGAAAGAGGTTGGAATATTGAGAAAATAAAGGAAGGTCACGGTGGGGGAAATATAGGAAATAAGGTAAGGATTGGCAATATAGGAGGTTGGAAGGGAGGTTAGGGCAGACCAATGGAGGAAGAGCTAGGACTTGACTTTAGTAATACAAAGGACTTCTGAAGGGTTTTAAACTAGAGATGATATGATTTGCACAGTTAAAGATCTCTTTGGTAGCTGTTGAGAACTGATTTTCAGGAGGGGAGGGCAGTGATCAGGAGAGGAGGAGGGATGTTCTCAGGCTGGGGTGATGGCTGTGTATTGAGAGAGAAGTGGATGAACTCCAGAGATATTTAGGAAATGGAATCTATGGGAAGTTTCCAGAAGAACTAAAAATCATTTATTCAGTGTCTGTAACAATCCCAGCAACGGGGTGGGGGGTGGCAAGCACCAGGAAGGCTTGGGAATATAAACTAAAGATACAAATCCTCAACCACAAAAACAAATACACACAGTTACCTCCCTCCCATCCCTCCAATCTCTTGGGGAAAATGGGTCCAAGATCAACGAAGATGCTGAAAGTTCTGGGCCACTTCTACGTCCTTCAATGGTGTCAACAAAGTCTTTTGGAGCTGGTACTTGAAACATGGAAATGTATTTCCCACAGCCCCACTATTCTCACCATAGGAAGCTGCTAACTGCAGGACTGCAGCATGGACCTGGCATCCTGGGAGTGGTGGGGCACCACATGGGGAAGCCAGGGAGAGAAGATAGCATATTTCTTCTTCCTGTCCTAAGTGTTCTCCTTTGTGGGAAAAGTGAAGCTGGTCTTTGCTTTCTGTTCACATCCCTTGGTCCCCTTCTCCCAACTCCTGGGAGTTGGCAGAGCTGCCCTATACCCACTCTCTGCCATCTCCCTCAGGAGACCACTCTTTGAAATGATCACCCACCCCCTCATGTGGTCCAGGAGGAAAGCAAAGTGCTTGAACTAACTCACACCAAGGTGTGAGAGAACTGCTTCAGCTCTTTATTCCTCCTTGAGAAGCTGCCCTTTGAAGAGAGCTTTCTGGGTCATTCCAACAATCTCTGCTCTCTGACCCACTCCTCTGAAAAGGGCCATTTCCCACCCCACCCCCATGGTTGTTGCAATTCCACTTCTGAGCTCACAGAGTCCTCTCAATTCAGTTTCTGGGGAGGGTGGTTCCATCAAAGGGTGATGGTGGTGAGATCTCCCCAGGGGTGACAAGTCTGCAGGGATTCAATAACCAGTGCAGAATGGCAGCTGGAAGCCATCCCACCATCTCAGGTTGGCCGAGCCTTAACCAAATCATGGGGGTCCTAGGGGATACTCAGAAGTACTCAAGAGAAGCAGATATTCACCAACCAGCACAGAAATGTTTCAATATTTTAACAGCTGGTATACCAACACCGGTCCAGCTGCATGTCAGGCCGGGATCTGTCCCTATCTTGTCCAGTCTCTGCTTTTCCATGGGGAATGGCTGCTGGGCCATTGTGCTCTCTCTTAAGAAGAAAAGTGCCCTGGGTTGGAGCTGGGTAAATGGCCTATTGGTAGAGCTAGTGGCTGTGTGGACTCCTAGCTGAACAGGATCTCAGGCCCTCAACCCACAGTGTGACCTTGGAGGGCCAAGCCGCCTGTGACTGTCCTTCTTCTCGCCCCTCCTCACAGTTATTTTTATCCAGCCTGACAGCCCTTGGCTGTTCCAGCAGTCTGGGCTCTGTGAGCTGGATGCAAACCAGACACACAAGCGTCTGGTGCTGAATCCCAAGAGGATTCCTCTCTGGGAGCCATCACGCGGTTCCTCCACCCCACACACTGTGCACCCAGCAGGGGGACCACATGCCTCAAGGGTGGAGCTTGCCCTCAGTTTCCCAACCTGGGGTCCTGTCTGGGAACACTCACTATCCAAGGCCTGCTGGTGACACCCCATCAAGGAGCCTTCCTGCAGCCCAGAAACCTCTTGGTCAGGCTCCTCATGCAAGCTGTGTGCAGGGAACTGTTAGTCAGCTGGAAAGTGGGTGTCTGTGGCTAGGAGAAAGGCAAAGCAAGCCCTACTGGGCTCCCCGCCCCCCAGGTCTGGCCATCATGGAGAATGAGTCTGTCCTGTGGTTCACTGTGATAGGGTGGGCTGAAGACAGGTGGGCAGAGGCAGACAATTCCCAGAAGATTTGACCCTACTGAGTTACCATGTCCCAGAAGTGGGGCAGACAGTATGTTCTGACCACTGGGCTTGGGAAAACTGTAGCCAGTTTGTCATTGACCTTCACTGGGGCCTGACCTCTCTACTGAAGCAGACTGCCTCAGGCTATTGTACCCTTTGGGTGAAAGCTTCATTCCCAGACCTGAGATTTATGCCTGCTGCCCAGTGTGTACCGGGGCAGGAGAGGGGTTGGGCACAGCTCTTAGGGGCTCTCCCAGGCTCATCTGCCCAGGGGAGAAATGCTATCGCGTCTCTAGGGATTACAAGCTAGAATGAGCAGTGAGGAGAGACAGACCAAAGGAAGAGGGACCACTGATGGGTAAAGAAAATGCCTTCACATATTAGCTAGTCCAGGCAGGACTGGCTTAAAGCAGAAAAGGCAGTGCCATTTCTAGAACTGCTGGAAAAAGGACTTTCCTCACTCCTGGGTAAGGAGTGCCATCTCAGAAAGCCCCGATTTCAGTGATTTCAGAGACCCAGGAACGGCAAAGTACAGCTCCCGCAGGCCTCCCACGCGGCCCTGGGGAAGAGGGGCTGGGGGCAAGAACAGCCACATGGGCAGCAGGTCCCACAGCACCAGGGGGTGTCAGGGAGGAAGATCGAAGGAGGGATGTGATGTGGCTGCTCCTGGCAGCCCTGCTGCTGGGGGCCATGGGCCCAGGGCCAGCTGGCCTCTCCAGGGGGCGGGCCCTTCGGATCAAAGAGGCCCCTCGACTGGGCAGGAAACTCCTCCGGGCCGGCAGGATGGTGCCAGCAGCTCGGCGCATGGGAGTGGCTCGGAGGGCTGGGATGGGGTAAGTTGGAGAGGCGCTGCTGGGGAGGACAGGGCCAGGCACTCTGCCCAGAATGGAGAGCTGGCTGCTTGGGGCTGGCAGCCCTGGACAGCTGTGGAAGAAGGACCAGGGCCAGGCAGGGAAGGCCAGGGGGCTGGTGGGTGTAGGCAAAGGCTCCATCTCGGCTGCGTAGCTGTTGAGGTGAGAGAGAAGGCGAATCCGGACGGGGTCCACACAGCTGCTTGGCCCTTCCAGGACCCCCAGGTACCTGATGACCTCAGTGAGGCACTCCCGAAAACCAATGCTCCGGAAGTCAATGGCCAGGGCGCGGGCATCAAAGAACCCTGCAAAAAGAGGGGCACCGTGAGGGTATGCCAGGCATGGGGAAAAGTTCTAGATTGGCCTCTTCCACTCACTCTCTGTGTGACCTTGGAATGTCATCCCATCTCTTTGAGCTCCAGTCTCCCCATCAGTACAGGGGGGAGAATAATCCCTGCCTGGAGTGAAGTATGGTGTGCTATGAGGATCAGATGAGTTTACTAAATATGAAGCATTATAAAATGTATTATTTATTTTCATCACTATTCATAATTAATCCAAAGAAGAAACTTTATGGTCAAGATATCTTCATTTAAGTAGACACTAGCCCAAGTGTGAAAAGGCTGTGCACAACACAAAATGTAAAACAACCCTGCCTGCTGATAAGGTTAGAGGTGGTGGCAGCAGTCACGAGAGCTGAGAGGCCCCTTGGAGAAGGTAGCATACCACAGCAGTGAAACATGAGGTCTTTGGAGGCAGCAGAGCTAGGTTCAAATCCTGGCTCTCCCACTTAACTATCTGGCCATGGACAAATCTCTTAATCACTTTATGCCTCAATTTCCTTAGCTGTATAACGGGGGGTTTGGATGGGGGAGTTCTGGTAGCATAGTGCCTAAAGCACTTGACTACTAACCAGAAGGCTGGTGGTTCAAACCCACCAGCCACTCCTCAGAAGGAAGGTTGGGGAATCTACTTCGTAGTGATACTGCCTTGGAAACCCAAGGAGGGGTCACTATGAGTTGAGGCTGACTTGATAGCACATAACAACAATAACGTATAACAGGGATATAATAGAACCTGCCTTTAGAGTCATGAGGGTGAAACTAAATGAAATGCTGCATAGCAAATGCTCAATACATTAAAAAGTTAGCTACTGTATTAAGGAGCTCTGGTGGCATAGTGCCTAAAGCATTTGACTAATCTAATCAGAAGGCTGGTGGTTCAAACCCACTAGCCACTCTGTGGAAAGAAGACTGAGCAACCTACTTCCATAAAGATTTATCGCTCAGAAACCCAAAGGGGGTTGCTATGAGTTGGAATTGACTTGATGGCAGTGAGTTTGGGTTTTTTTTTTTGGTTTTATTTTTTTCCTCACCTGGCCCCTGTAAGGGTTTGAGTCTGTCCCCTGGCCCAAAGGATCCTACTCTGAAAAGACTCTGGAAAGCAGGACCCTACTCTGATCTTTGGCCACTGACATCAGGCTGGGGACCCTCTCTTTGCCCTGATTTTGGTGAGGTATGACTAAGTGGACAGCTCAGCAGAGGTATTCACATCCTCACTGCCTCTATACACCTGCCCCTCTCTCCACCACCATTTGGGCAAAGACAGATTCATGACTATGGTAGCAAATATCTGTTCCCTGGTTCATGGCCAATGCTGTATACTTAGCTGTGTGAGTCTGAGCAAACCCTTTTCCCTTTCTGTGTTTGCTGTTCTTTTTAAATCAACAATGACTGAGTTCTTATGAAGCACTTTATATTAAAAAAAAAAAAAAAATCCAGATTCACTTTCATAGAGTTGACTCCAACTCATAGCTACCCCTTCTTGGGTTTCTGAGGCAGTATCTTTATGGAAGTAGATTACCCAGTGTTCCTTCCAAGGAGTGGCTGGTGGGTTTGAACCACCAGACTTCTGGTTAGCAGTCAAATACCTTAGGCACTACGCCACCAGAGCTCCCGAAGCACTTTATATGCATTATCTAATTTAATTCTCACCCATCCCAATGGTGTTGAGTCAATTCTAACTCATAGTGACCCCATAGGACAACGTGTAACTGCCTCATAGGGTTTTCAAGGCTGTAATCTTTATGGAAACAGATTGCCATATTTTACTCCTGCAGAGCAGCTGGTGGGTTCAAACAACCAACTTTTTGGTTAATAGCTGAGCATTTAACTCCTGTACCACCAAGGCTCCTCCTGATGCTAATAAAAAGCCTACTACTCCCATTTTAGAGATGAAGAAACTGAGGAACACAGAGATTAAGTCATTTTTCCAAGGTGATAAAGCTAGTAAGTAGTAGAGCCAAGATTCAAGTCCTAATGTCTGCCTTCCCATTAACTCTTAGTCATAAAATGATAACAACCCCTACTAGAGGCTCTTGTGAGAATCAGATGAGTTAACGTATATGAAAGCACTTTGAAAACTGTAAAATGTTGCCCAAATATTAATCATTATTTTCCTTTTAATTGGATAACCATAAATGTAGTTTGAACTATTTTCTCCGCTGGCTGATTAGAGACAGAAGTCTCTAATGGTAGGGTAATGCATTCCTTTGGTGGTAGTTCTCAAAGTGACCAGCTGCATCAGGGTCATTGGGCATCCTTATTGACTTGAAAATTTCTAAGCCCCAATCCAGACCTACTGCCTCAAAATCTCTGGGGTGTGACCCACAACTCTGCCTGCCTCCAGAAGATATGGCTGCATACTGAGGCCTGAGAAACACCAGACTGGGCCACTTGAAATGCAATTGTCCCCTTAAAGGGGTAGCAAGTTAAGTCTCTGGGATTTTGGTGTATGTGGCCAAGAGTTGGGGAGCTTTTAAGGTTTCCCAATTGTGAAATCATCAAAACACACAGAGAGACTTCACGTAGACAAACTTACCATTTGTCTGGAAGCTATTTAAAAGCCATAGTTGCATGACTTTATTTTAATGGACTAGCTCAAAATATTGGAATGAGTTACATTTGCTTTCTATTATAATCTCGTATAGAACAGACTACATGCATATGACATATCACTCCAGCACTGTCAAGGATGCACAGCCTAGGAGGCCAGATGTTCCATATCAGTAGAATGTCTGTGGCTAAAATCCCAGGCGGACCCCTCCCTGGATCCACGCAGGTCCCAGACTGGGATCCCAGTGAAAATTAGCTCATGAAGGGTAATTTTTAACAAGGCCGTGGAGGGTGGGACCAATAGGAACAGTGTGATGTAAAAGAAAGCTCCTCCAAGGTCTAAGACAGGATGGCATGGATGAAAGACTTTCAGTGGAGACACTGAAAGTAAGAGGGAGATGCTATAAAAGAGGAGAAAGAAGCTTTGCAGATGTTCTAGCAAGGCCTGCAGTGAGTGCCTAGAAGGCAGAGACCACATCTACTTTGCTCAGTTGTATATCCCCAGGCCACAGCCTTTAAATACTTGCTGCATGAATGACTCCTGGGAGAGAAAAGCATCAGTACCTGTCCCACCAGTGGCATGGAGCATTTTCAAGTGATCCACCGTCATCTGTAAGACCTCAGCCTTCTCCAGCTTGGAGGAGCCCTGTGTGTTCAGAAGACAGAAGAGTAAAGGCCTCCAGTTGACCTCCATTGCTCCCCTCCTCTGCACAGTGTCATCTGTCCTCACTGTCTCAATTTCTCACCTTCCTCTTACTCCTCAACCACCTGAATTGGGCTTCTGCTTTGGCCAATGTCTCTTCAGTTCTCTTCTTAGTGCACCTGTCCACTGCTCTGGACACTGCTGACCACTTCCTCCTTCCTGAGACCTTCCTCCCTTAGCCTCCATGACACCACTTTTTCTTCGTTCTCCTTCTACCTTGCCTCTTGCTCTGCCTGCTCATTACATGGTGGTGCTCTTCCCAGTGGGTACTAGCACATTGCTCTTCTAAGTCTGCATGCTTTCTCTGGACGGTCTCATCTGTCTCCATGGTTTCAACCACCATCACCATATTGATCATTCCTCAGAAGGCCACTCCTGCACACCTGGTCTCTTAGACCATCTCTACTCACCATGCCCAAGATCTAGCACATCACCCTACCTCCAAAGCACTTCCTCTTCCTGTGTCCTCTCTCTCAGAAAGTGTTTCCTAAGCCTCCAGTATTACCTGGTCCCCCAGGTGAAACCACTGGGTCAGACTCTTCAAGTGGATCCCTTGAGGGCAGGCACCAGGTCTAATTAATGGCTGGTCCTGTGAAGGTTTCAGTGAGTATCTCAGGAATGTCTGATTTGTTCTCACCAGCATAAGGGAAGGCAGGTGACCCATGATCCATGTTTTGGAGCACAATGTAAGAATCTTTCAGGCTATCTGGTTTAACCCACCCTCCCCACTATGTTGTCTGCCACCCCAACATGTTCAATGACAGAGTGCTCAGCCCCTGAGCAACATGGTGCACTTTCAAATAGTTTTGGAAATGCTAACAGAGCAGAGGGACAGGGGACTTGAGAATCACACAGCCCTGTGTTCCAGTTCTGCTCTACTATTTACTAGGTGTGATCAGGCCTAAGTTATGTTAGCCTCTCTGTGCCCTAATTTCCTCAACTGTGCAACAGGCATAATAATCCTTTTTTTTTTTTTTTTAATTTTTATTGTGATTTTGAGTGAAAGTTTACAGAGCAAATTCATTTTCCACACAGCAGTTGATACACATTTTGTTTCATGACGTTGACTGCAATTCCCCACAATGTAACAGCTCTCTTCCCACTTCCTCCTTGTAGTTACCCACTTCCCTGAGTCCTTCTTTCTTATGCATTCCTGCCTCCCGAGCTATCTCCTGTGCAAACACTGCCCTTCTATTCTCCCACAATTGATCACTATAAAGAGTGTTTCTATCTGATGAAAATGTTCACCCCCTATGCCTGTCTATTGTTTGGGTGGAAGCCATAGAAGTGAGTTCAGTTCCAGACCTGAAGGGTAACTAGAGGCCATAGTCTCAGGGGTCTCATCAGGTTCTATCAGACCAGTATACCTGGTCTTTTTTTTTTTTTTTTAATGATTTCGAGTTTCCTTCCACATTGCTCTCCCACTCTATCCAGGATCTGCTGCACTGACCCCTTTTCTGAGTGGCTGACAGTGGTGGCCAGTGACCATGTAGTTCTTCTGATCTCATAGTCGTACAGGCTGAGGACTGCATGGTCTATTAGTCCCTTGGACTAATTGCTTCCATGCGTCTTTTGTTTTCTTCACTATTCTTTGCTCTGGATGAGGAGAGACCCATCGTTACATCTAGATGACCACTTGCAAGCTTTTAAGATCCCAGTTGCTCCTCACCATGTAGGATGTAGAACAATGTTTTTGTTTAGTATGTTATGCCAATTGAGCTTGATGTCCCCTGCGACCATGGTTCCGAGCCCTTAGGTCCAACATCTCAATCACTGGTCATTGGCTGTGGCCAAGAAGTTATCATAACTTTGCCCTTTGTTAGCTATATTACATATTTAGATATTTTTTATTTTATTTTGATTTGGGTGAAGATTTACAGAGCAAATTCACTTTCCATACAGTGGTTCACATATACTTTGTCTCATGTCATTGATCACAATTTACCACAATGCAACAGCTCCTCTCCCATTTCCCCCCATAGTTACCTCTTCCCAGTGTCCATCCCTCCATACTCTCCTGCCCCCTGAGCTGTCTCCCTGTGCATAAGCAGCCCTTCCTTCTCCCATGATTGTTCTATCCAAGGCGTGTGTCTACTTGAGGTAAATGTTTAACTCACATGCCTGTACTTAGTTTGGCTGGAAACCACAGGTGTGGGTTTAATTCCAGACCTGAAGGGCAGCTAGGGGCCATAGTCTCAGTGGTTCTACCAGGCTCTATTGGACCAGCAAACCTGGTCCCCACCTTCTTCTTCTTTTTTTTTTTTTTTGCCTCCAAATGATTTTGAGTTTTGTTCCACATTGTTCTCCCTCTCTATGCAGGATCTTCTACATCCGTTCCAAGTGGATGACAGTGGTAGCCGGGCACCATCTAGTTCTTCTGGTCTCATAGTTGTATAGGCTACAGATTGGATGGTGTACCAGTCACTAGGACTGATTGTTTCCACTAACTTTGGTTTTCTTCTTTCTTCTTGATGAGGAGAGACCCATCGTTGCATCTAGATGGCAGCTTGCTAGCTTTTAAGATCCCAGTCGCTACTCACCAAAGTAGGAGATGGAACAATGTTTTGTATAGTATGTTATGCCAATTGAGCTTGATGTCCCCTGCAACTATGGTCCTGATCCCACAGGTTCAACTACTCAGTCCCTCTGGGTAGCTGGCTGTGACCAAGCAGTGACCATAATTACATATTTGGATATTCTTACAGCACATACAAATACGTAAGTAGAAATATCATCTGCCAACCTTATATATGGTCATGGGTATATTCCTTTGTGCCCAGACATACCTGATCATTCAGTCTACCTATCTACTTACCCACAGATTAATGTTCATTATCACTGATAATGCAGTACTGTATATATAAAAGAGTTTATCTTTGTTGTTTATACCTCTTGTGCACCTCTCTGTGTCTTCCTCTTCCTCAGTGCCACTGTGTTGATCATTCATTTTGGTACATTGCCCATCCCTTTACCCACATCAATCACTGGTCCCTACTTTTTAGGATCATATTGAGGATTCAATTCAGTGGGATGATGGATATAAGGCTACAACATCTGGGACACTGTAGGACTTCAGTAAATACAAATTTCCATTTCTCTCATCCAGTGACAGATATCAGAGAGTGATCACAGCATCTCAGGCAGTTGCTGTTAATCAACAGAGACGCCACAAGAAATGAACCTTATCTGCCACTCACACAGTATTTCATCTAGCACAATCAGCAACGTCACATACCTGCTTCTCAAAGGCAGTGGGGACCAAGCGCCGCAATTCAGAAAGGCTGCTGTTGATGCGGTCTCGGCGTCGTTTCTCTATGATCTAAGAAACAAAGTCAAGAAGTTACATGTGGGTGCTTCATCACAATTTCCAATGTGCCTTGGTGAGCAATGACTCATATTTTCCCTCATAATATTTTTGAGGGAGATAAATCTGTTCTTATTTTATAGAGGAGAAAACTGAGGCTCAGAGAGGGGCAGTGATTTGTTAAAGGTCACACAGTAAGAAGTGCAGAACTGGGAATAGAACTCAGGTCTCTTGTCTTATTCTGTGGGAATGATGTTCAAAATATTTAACCTGTACAGGAAGGTACAAGTTTTCCCCACTTCCAAAAGTACAGGGTTTCTAGGAAAGCTTTCATAAACTGAATTAGCATAAAGAGAAGAATTATCATTAATTTATATGTGATTTTTTTTGAGTGTTCTTAGACTCCAGAAATAAGCTACGAAATCATACCAAATAACACATAAAACCTAAGATAACACTATCATAGGCGCTCTGGTGGTGTAGTGCCTAAAGTATTTGACTGCTAACCAGAAGGCTGGTAGTTCAAACCCACCTACCACTCCTTGGAAGGAAGACTGGGCAATCTACTTGTATAGTGATAACTGCCTTGGAAACCCAAGGAAGGGTCACTGTGGGTCGGATCTAACTTGACGGCAGTGAGTTTGGTTTTGGTTTTTGAGTATCATACAGTAGTCACAGACATAGTTCAAAGCTATGGAGGCTTAATGCTGAGATGCTGAGTGTAGTTCTTGAGGAAGGAATTTGACAATGTCAGTAGTGCTGCCAAGTGTGAGCTGTCTAACAACCAGCTGCAAAACAAAGGCTGAACACTAGTTTCGTTTCTCACTTTTTTCTTTTGAAAATCCTTTTCAGATTTATTTCAGTTAGTGAAAACAGGTACTAATGTAGGTCTTCCATAAAAGCCAAGTGGTGTAAAGTGAACTTTCGAAAAGTGTGGGATACCAGTATCAACCAGTCAGACTGGGGACACCAGTCACAGTGCTGGAGCAGATCTCGGAGGCCCCCTCTTGGTCCAGGGTTATTCTTGTAGTTGCTGGGTCATCGGGAGGTCTGAGGAGTCCTAAGCACTGCTCTCTACGGCTGCAAGTCCTTTGATTTGAACTGTCTCATTCTCACCTCACACTACTGGCAGCAGAATGCTGATAAACCTGTTGAAAACCAAACTCACTGCCATGGAGTTGAATCCGACTCATGAAGGTCCCAGGAGTTACAGAGTAGAACTGTCCCACAGGATTTTCCTGTTGGCAACCTTTATGGAAATAGACTGCAAGGCCTTTTTCCACAGCACTGCTGGGTGGGCTTGAATCATCCATCTTTAGGTTAGTAAACGAGCATAAACCATACGCACCACCCAGGGACCTCCAGGATACTGACAAACCAAGAAAACCAAAACCCACTGCTATTGAGTTGATTCTGATTCACAGCTACCTCTACTGGGTTTCCAAGGCTGTAAATCTTTACAGAAGTAGATTGCCTTATCTTCCTCCCTTGGAGCAGCTGGTGCGTTTGAACCGCCGACCTTCTGGTTAGCAGACAAACGCCTTAACCACTCACTACGCAACCAGAGCTCCCTTCAAGATACCGATAGCTGAGCAGAAATGATGGCTCCCACTTTATAGATGAAAAAAATGAGGGCCGGAAATAAGTGGTTTGCCTAAAGTCTCATGGTTAGTGAGTGACAGGGCTGGGGCCAAATTCCAGGTCTCTGGACTCCCCAGCTCTGGTTGCACAGTACCTGAGGCATTTGACTGCTAATCAGAAGGCTGGCAGTTCAAACCCACCAGCCACTCCTTGGAAGGAAGACTGGGCAATCTACTTCCGTAGAGATACCGCCTCAGAAATCCAAGGAGCAGTCACTAAGTTGGAAAGGACATGACCACAGTGAGTTTGGTTTAGTTTTTGGTCTGGACTCCCCTTGCAGGTCTCTTCCTGTTTAGCATAGCTACCTCCTGCAGGGAAAAGTGTGTCTGGAACAAGATTGCCAGTAGCAAGCTGGGAAGCCTCCTTTTGTCCCCCACTCAGCCCACGGAGACAAAATGAAAGTTCTGGGCTCAAAGAAGACGAGGTAGAAGGGAAGGCTGGGGTATCAGTAATAACAATTTTAAACAAAAGTTTATATTATGTCCAGCATTGTTCTGAGTGCTTTACATTAATCCATTTAATCTTCCAAACAACCCTTCGAGGGAGTTATTATCCTTATTTCAGTTATACAGAGAAGGAAATGAGGCATGAAGAGAGTGGGTGGCTTGCCCAAAGTCACCCTGCTAATAATTACTGGCAGAGGCAGGATTTGAACCCAGACAGTTTAGCTAGCTTCAGGATGACCGGTCTCCCTCTGGGTCAGGCCCCTGAAGTAACAGGACCCTTTATGAGGCAGCTCAGCTGTGATGGACACTCACCCCTCTCCGTTTCTTCCTGGCTTGCATCTGTGAAGGGCTGGCGGTGGATAGTGGCCTGGCCATCTGGCTGGAGAGGAAGAGAAAGGTTTATTTTTCAGCACTTGGGGACTATCACAGTGGTCTGGGTTGACCTCAGTGAGGCCGGACTGTCGGGGAGCACATCCCCCTCCCAGGCGGCCACTGGCTCCCAGGCCAGGAAGAGCCGCAGGGCAGGCGTGGGAGGAACGCTTTCTCTGCGTTTCTCCCCGAGGGTCCATTTCTCCCCTGGCCAAGTCCTCCCCAGCACTCCGGGTTTCCTGCCCTCAAGGCGAGGCCGCCGCAGCTCTGGCTGCGCTCGCGAGCTATGGGCTGCGGGGGTGGCGTGGGGGTGGGGTTGGTTCCTGGCACTGGAGTGCTCTGGCCTCCCCTCTAGCTGCAGCAGGCGGCGTCGGGGAACTGCGGGTCGGGCGACCAGGGCTCTACAACCTGATCCGTGCGGGGCGGGGCCGGCGAGGGCATGGGCTGGCGGCGGCGGCGGGGCTGGGCGGGTTGGGTTTCAGAGGGAGCCGCTGGGAGCGAGCGTGGAAAGAGCAGATGCTGCCGCTTCCCACGGGCCGAGCGCGGCGGCCACCCGCCCTCGCCCGGCCTGCAGCTGCCGCCGCCTCCCACGCGGCGCGGTCCTGGTGGGGGCGGGGACAGACGGCATCTGGGTCACAGGCCCTTCTCGGGACACTGCTCTGGTCTCCCCAGAGAGCCCCTGGCCCCCATCACTTCGGGCCTCCTCTCCTATGCTGGGCCTTCTCCCAGCGTGGCTGAATGAATGATGGATGTTTGTTCACACCCCTGGAGTTCCCATCACACGGAAGAGGCTCCCTCCTGGGGTTTTCCTGGCTAGACTTTGACCAAAATCATCTCCAGCCCAACTGCTCACCCTCCTAATGGGTTTCCTGATTCCGGGGCTCTCTCAGAATGGAAAGGATTTGCTGGGTTGCACTGAGGTATATTACTCATTTGGCCAGTCCTTCAGAGGCCCCATGCAGGCCCTGGGCTGGTGTCAGAAGCCAGGAGAGAAACACCAGGCAGGCCCCAGCCTCCCAGCTGCTCACCATCTGGTAGGGAGACACCATGTGAACAAACAACTTCAGACAAGGTGACTCCCCTGTTATTTCGGAATACAAAACTCCACACATCTCAGCAGGTCCCGGTAAGCTTGCCCTACTCCGATACCAGGTTCTCTTCCCCCTGGGTTAACCCTTATCATGAAGCCTCCCAATCTCCTGGTTCTGCAAGGTGGAAAACCTGGCCTTAGCTTCCTTCTCCATCCTCACCCCCACCTCACCAAAACCTGCCAATTCCATGTTTAAAATTCATCTCCCATCTGTCTTCATCTTTACTGCCATTCAGGGCTGAGCCGCTATCATCTTTCACCTGGTCGGCTGCAGGAGCTTCTTGTGGGGTCCCTCTGCACTTCCTTTATCCCCTACAAGCCTATTTCTATGCTGCAAGAAGAATCATTTTTTACACTCAAATCTGATCTTGTAATTTTCTTAAAACTTCAGTGGCTTCCACTACTTTTAGGACCAAGGGCATTAACTTTCAGGTGACTCACCTATCCCTAATCACCCCTTAGCCTCAACTCTCCCTTGCCCTGTGTGCTGTGAACACACTATATTCCTATCTGTGGATGCAGATACTATGCTCATAGCCTAGAATTTTCTGGTCTACTCCACCTCCCCATTCCAAGTCTTGGGCCCTTTACGTCATTCAAATCTCAAATGTCACCTCCCTGGGGAGGCTTTTATGGCACCTTCCCCCCAATTAGGTGGTGTCTTCTGCTCTGTAGTCTCCCAGCATCCTGCATTCACAATAATTATGCCAATTAGTTATTTTATATTTATGTGACTGTTTGAGTATCTATCTCTCCAGCAAGTCTGTAAGCTCCATCATAACCATGTCTGTTTCATTCACTAATGTAGCCTTGGCACATAGCAAAGGTCTTCGTAGAGCTCCCTCCTCCCTCCTGCCTTTGTCTTTGGCATCACTGGGAAAGAGAGAGGTGCGTGCTATAAAATCTATGTCCCAGGCTTTTGTGCAAAGGGGTCATATGTGGCTCACTGGAGGGCTCTCAGCCTACGTCACTACCTTCTTTGCATTTGGGGTTGCATCATTTTCATCCACTGCTCAAAGAGAGAAAGTTGCAGGAGAGACCAGATCAGCGTAGTGGCTAAGGCACTTGACTGCTAACCAGAAGGCTGGCGGTTCAAACCCACTAGCCACTCCTCGGAAGGAAGGTTGGGCAATCTACTTCTGTAGTGATATTGCCTCGGAAACCCAAGGAGGGGTCGCTATGAGTCAGGGCTGACTCGACGGCACATAACAACAACAACAACAAGTGTCATGTCCCTGGCCTCATCCAGTGACATCTGGAAAAGGATATCTCTCACCCAAACATCTGCATAAACAGGGCTGGAAAGGAGCCTGTGAAAGCTCCCAAAAGGGAGGGTCCAGTAAGCTAGGTCCAGGGCTCAGACATTCAAAACCTGTGATGTGTAGGGCAGCCTATTTACAAAGCTTCCCCGAGAGCCAAGGTACACTAAGAAACATGGCCTTTGTCCCTTACCACTGGATAAGGCATCTCTTGAGGTATTGAGTTAGCATCACACACGTCACTGCCTCTCATCCTGATCCCTCCTCAGGGACCATCTGTGGAGGCTGACGCACCCATTTCAGGGCAAGGCAGCTCGGGTCTCTCTCTGATCTCCTGGCCAGTTTTTCTCTGCAAGGTTATTCCCCTTCCCCATATATCACAGGCCAACCTCACTTTACTGTTTCCTATGCACCACTATGTATATTTCCCTTATTTGAACCTTATAAAAAACCCCTTTACAGATGAAGACACTAAGCCTTGGGGAGCTAAAGCTGCTTGCCTAGTCTATGCAGCTGCTAAGGAGCAAAGCTATTATGGGAATGCATGTCTTCTGGCTCCAAATTCAACACTGTTTTCACTCATAATTCCTACTTCCTGTCTGTCTGAATAGCCCTCAAGTCCCCTGATCCTTAAAGCTCCCAAGAGCCCCAGCCAGAGCCTGCTTCCAGCCATAATCTGGCCCTGACAGTGGGAGGAGGTGTGGGAGCTTCTTGTCTGGGACTTTGAAAGTAAGGCAGATTTTCATGGACCCAGAGGAGATGTGATGACCACCAAGATCTGCTCCATGGGCCTCCAGTGGCCCCTAGCCAGTATTCCAGGGTGGTCTCTTTGGTGGGGGGCAGCTTTCCAGGCAGTCTGGCTGCCAGTCCTGACCACCCTCTGCGCTGACTTCCCCTGGGAACTCCCCCATGGAACCCTTGCAAATGACCCTACTCATTTTGCAACAACCAAAGGCAGAAAAACAATGGAGAGACCTCAGAGAGCACTGATCATATTTGTAAAATGAGGAGACTCAGAGAGGGGAAGGGATCTGCCCTAAGCTACAAAGCAAATAAGAGGAAAATCTAGAACTAGAGCCAGGTCTACTGACTTTCACTCAGTGCTCTTCCAGGTACAGGGATATACTGTCCCGTCATTTATGTCTCCTAACTGGTACATTAAGGAGCTCTGGTGGTGCGGTACCTAAGGCATTTGACTCCTAATCAGAAGGCTGGTGGTTCAAACCCACCAGCCGCTCCATGAAAGGAAGAAGAGGCAATCTACTTCCATCAAGATTTACCGCCTTGAAAGCCCAATGAGGGTCACTATGAGTTGGAATCGACTCGGTAACATGGGTTAACTGGTACATTATGTTCTAGACAGCATGTTCACATCCACTGTTCTCATTTACTGTGCAGTAACTCTTCAGTTAAATATGACTGGGCCATTCACATTTAGGAAAAGTAATACTTTTATAAATGGGGTGACAGAGACACAGTTAATTAAAGAATTGTGCCCAGTAAATCCAGTCTTAAGATTTCCATTCTTTTCATTGAACCATGCTGCCTCATGAATATGGCATCCCCCCCAAATGAATGATGATCACCTTAGAGAGCAGCATTTATCGCAGATTACTTTATGTCAAAGCAAGGAGCTCTGTGCTTTCCTTCATGATGTTGTTAGTTGCCTTGGGTCAGTTCTGACTCATGGTGACATTGTGTGTAGAGAAGAAGTGCATTCTATAGGGTTTTCAAGGCTGTGACCTTTCAGAAGCAGACTGCCAAACCCATCTTCCAAGGCATCTCTGGGTGTGTTTGAATTGCCAACCTTTTGGCTAGTAGTTGAATGCTTAACTGTTTGTATCACCCAGGGACTTTAAGGGAGGTTATTATTACTACTTTTTAATATTTTACTTTGTTTTAGATGAGAATTACATAGCAAATTAGGTTCCCATTCAATTTTTATACAACTTGTTCCATGACATTAGTTACATTTTTCACAATGACTCAACATCCTCATTATTTCCATTCTTTGTGTTCTGTTTCCATTAATCTAGCTTCCCTGCCCCTCCTTAGCTTCTCATCTTTGTTTTAGGGTAAATGTTGACTGTTGGTCTCATATAGTTGATTGCCTTAAGGGAACACAGTATTCACTGGTGATAGTGTTTATTTTATAAGCCAATCTATTATTTGGCTGAAATGTGAGCACTGGGAGTGGCTTCAGTTCCAAGATCAAAGGATATTTTAGGGCGATAATCTTGAGGGTTCCTCTAGTCTCAATCAGTCCAGTAAGTTCGGCCTTTTTTACGAGTTGGAATTTCGTTCTACATTTTTCTCCCATTCCAACTAGGACCTGTTCAAGGACCTTCTTTGGTCAAAACAGTCAGTAGTGGTAGTGGTAACCGGCACCATCTAGTTCTTCTGGTCTCAGGCTACAAGTAGCTGAGGTTCTCATGGGCCATTAGTCCTGTGGACTAATGTTTTCCTTAAGTCTTTGGTTTCCTTCACTCTCCTTTGTTCCAGATAGGAAGAGACCAAAAATTGTATTTTAGATGGCCGCTTGCAAGCTTGGAAGATCCCAGACATTACTAACCAGTCTAGGATGTAGAACATTATCTTTATGAGCTAAGTTACAACAATTGACTAAGTTTTCCCAAGAGACTATGGTCCCAAGCCTTCAAACTCAGTAAATCAATCTCATGTGGTGTTATGTTATTACATCTTGGTAGTATCTATAACTGTGCCCCCTATGAAGTTTACTATATATACAAATATATTCGTAGTTTAAACATATATATATATACACACACACACACACACACACACACACATATGCCTGTAGATACACCTGTACATGGATATTCATAAATTCACATATACCTTCTTAAATACACATATTCATACATGTCTACCTATGTATCTGTGTACCTGCACAGGTATTTTATTGGTTATTATTATCATTGCAAAACTGTATGTTCGAGGTAGATTATTAACATTCCTATTTTGGAAGGTTCAGAAAGGGGTAAATTGCCCAAGTTAATGGTAGTGAGAAGCAAACTCAGGTCTATCTGACTTCAAAAGCCACCTTGTGTCTTCAATCATTTAGGAATGACCCACAGCCCCTGACCCAGTGCCTGATATGTGTCAGTACTCACTGAATGTTTGTGGAGGGGGAGGGGAGAGACGATATATTCTCAGTTTGGATCTAGCAAGTGTCAAGGGGCCCAGTTCAGAGAGGAGCTCTGTGGGTGAGTCCCACAGGCCGGGGCAGGATCCCACTAGGCAGCAGCCCACAGTGCTAGTGGGACAGACCCTGCTCCTGACGCTCATGTCTTTGAGCGTGGGGGATTTGCGCCCTGCCTCTGATCCTGAGGAGGCTGGCTGCCCCAGACCTGTGGCTCTTGCTACTGTTTATCTGACTTTAGAGTTCTTTGTATATGAAGCTCTTCTTCCCTAAGAGTCCCCTGGGGGCAGAGGCTGAGCAGGATACATCTGGGCTCTGACACCCAGCCTAGGTCTGGGCCACAGCAGGCATCGTTCAGCACTCCCTGAATTGAAGCATTGATGTCTGCTTGGGGGAGGGCCCTTTGGTGAGTGCTACAAAGAAGCGTCTGTAAGTCAGCCTCTGCCAGATGTCCAACTGCTTTCTCTGCTCTGAGGGGGTCTGCTCCTCTAAGAATCTACACAGTCTCTAAAGATGGGCTCTGGATGAAATGACAACATGCTGTATAGGAAAAAACTGCCCTGTGATCCTAGATGCCTCATCCCAAATGCTACCACACTCAAGAAGCCCTCCTGCCGTCTTGGGTTGTGAGTGACCTCTCTCGGTTTAAGTGCCCCCACAGCACACATTCTATCTCTTTTCTATCCTGTCTGTGGTCTCTATGTGACCTGGCAGGTCACCGTCTAGGCTCTTGGAGGACAGAAGCCGGCTCTGATCGGCCTAGCTCTCTGCATCAATTTCATGCCTCTGATCCATGAAGATTCAATGGCACTGAATTTGAGACCTCCTCACCCCCATCCCACCACATGGGGTTGGGTCCCTCCTCTGCCTCTGGCAGGAACAGGCTAGATGAATTTCTTCTCTAAATAACAGTTTCTGTCAAACAATTAAAAAGGCTAATATATCACACAGAAACTTGTATTATACAGCCCCCGAACCTAATATACAGGATACAGGGAGATATTTATTCCCTACATTTTATAGGGAATAAATAATTGGAAGCTGGTAGCACTTTACTAGGGTTTGTGATTGAGGCAGGATTTCCTGGTCTCAGAAAACTGGTGAGCATTGAAATTTTGAAAAGCCCTCAAAAAATCCCTAAGAGTAAATCTTCACCCAAATCAAAATAAAATTTAAAAACAAAACAAAACAAAAGCCTAAGAATTAACTGAAGAATCTCCTCCAATTATATCCCAAAGAGTGAGGTTTGGATGAGCCACGACAGGTCAGATCACTTTCCACTGCCCCATCTTTCTTTATTTTACTGATGCTGAAACAGGCTCAGACAGGAAAAGCAATGATCCTAGGTCACATGGTGAGTTGGTGGCAAATTTAGGGCTGGGACACTGGTCTACATACTCCTAGTTGGTCCCTGCTGCTCTTTTGGGGTGGTATCCTATGGTGAGTGCCTGACACTAATTAAGCATTTGCTATGCATTAGGCCCTGTGCTAAGCCCTTGATATACATTATCTCATTCGATTTTCCCAATGAGATCGACTCTATGATTTATACCCATTTTACAGGTAAGGAAACTGAGGCATACAGAGTTCACAGGGTTTGGAAACAGCAGAACAAGTTCTGAAGCAGATCATAATATTTACCAAGAGCTGAAAGACAGTGGTGGCAGGGTGGTGTTGTAAAGAGCAGTTGAGTTGGAGTCCCAGCCCTTGCACTCACCATGACTAAGTCAGCTACTCTGAGTTGGGCGTTAAGTTTCTTCAATACCAATTTCAAAATCCATTTCATTCAAGGGAGAAGATATTTTCTACCTCCTGAAGCTTTTTGCTATCTACATGAAGAGTGTATCCACACTGGGGTAAAACTGGGAAAATATGGTATTCTGCTTGGTCAGCAGATTCCTGACCCAGAAAGGGGTGAGGGGCGATGTGGTACGAACACTCTATTAATTCCCTAAGATTTTCAGGGAAAACTCTTCCCCAACGGCCTCACCCTGGCACTTGGACAGAAAGACAGTCATCAATTACAGATCAACACCCTGGGCTGAACTCTAACTCCTTCAACGCATCTCGAGCACTAAATGGCCAAGAACACACAGGCTTCCAGGTATACCACTGCGTGTAACGGCACACGCTGCACACGTCCTCACATCCTGACACCTGCAGGCCGCAGCGCATACCTGGCTCTCATGAGGTTGCCTCAGGTCGTACTTGAGGACTAGTTTCGTGTTCGATGAGCACATCGGCGGCGCTCCCCACCTCGTCGCTTTCGGCGCGCTCAGTCTCCCACTCCTGGCCCTTACCTTAGTTCGTCCTCGCGACCCACGTCGATCGGTCCGTCGGACTCGCTGTCGGAGCCACTCCGGTCCCTGGGCCGCTTCATGGCCAGCGCTGGCTGCCGGCTCTCAGACGGGCTGTGCAGGGTCGGAGTCGCGAAGTCTGGCTCCGCCCCGGCCCCGCCGGGTTCCGCGCAGGCTCCGCCCTGGGTGTGCGGCCGCCGCCCCTTCCCAAGGCCCTTTCGTGAGCTGCAGCCCTGGGCGCCGGGGCGCCCCCTCGCCTCCGCTGAGACGCGCTCTCAGAGCCGTGGGAAGGCCCCAGGCTGTCAGCGCCCCCGCCGACGGCTGGTCCGTCAGACTTGGATCCTGCCGCCGCGCCCGCCGCTCCCTGGGTGGCCCTGGGCACGTGCCCTTGGGGGCCTTATGGGGAATCCAGGGGTCCCTGTCCATCCCTGGCTCGCCAGGGCGCTGCAGGCTTGTGGAGGCGCAGTTCTATGTTGTCCCAACTCCATCAAGGTCGACTCCGCCTGCTCCTGCCTCCCGAGGCTCCTGGGGGTGGCAGACACATCTGGTTTGGCGAGGTTGATGGGGGTGTCTGTTACCTGATCCTGGGCAAGAATCCTTCAGAAGCTCCTCCCATAGAGGCTCAGGATTAGGGGAATGTAGTGTGTGTATACGGGGGGATGGCAGTTTAAATTTGCGAGGGGTGGTAATCACCCCCAAAGGGAGTGTCTGAATTTTTCGCCGTGTTGCCTGAGAAGGTTGGATCCTGGCCAAGATTTTTGAGCTCCTGCCTTGGTGATGGTGGAGAATCAGCTTCCAGTTCACCTGTGGTGTTGCTGTCCTGGGAAAACCCGAGCTCCAGGAGAGAGCTCCTGGGGGTAGGGACGTGAGGAAAGAGCCTGGGAGACCCCTCTGCCCACAGACCAACCTGCTCACTGATGGGAGTTCTGGCTGCTCTGCCTCCAGGGAAGGATGGGGAAGATTCACAGAGACAAAGATCTGCCATCCTCTTATTCAGAGAAACTCCCAAGGCTCAGAAGGAAGTTGTGAACATCATGAAAGGGGAGTACATTTCAAGGGTAGAGAGGAGAGGATGGTGAAGAGAGGGCTTGATGTGGTAAGTCAGACACCAGAGAAGTTGCAGTAGACAGAATAATGTCCCTTCCCCAAGATATCAAGTCCTAATCCCTGTAAACTGTAAATGTGACCTTATCTGGAAAAAGGGTCTTTGCAGATGTGATTAAATTAAGAATCTTGCGTTAAAGGGATTATCCTAGATAATCTTGCTAGGCTCTAAATGCACTCTGAAGTGTCTTTATGAGGGACAGATGGAGATTTGACTGAAGCAGAAGAGGAGAAGGCAATGGAACCACAGAGGCAGAGATTGGAGTGATGTGCCCACAAGCCAAGGAATGCCAGCAGCCAGCAGAAATTGGAATAATCAAGGAACATATTCTTTTCCAGAGCTCAGAAGCGAGCATGGCTCTGCTGACACCTTGATTTGGATCTGATTAAACCAGTTGCCATCTAGTCGACCTAACTCACAGAGAACCCATGTATGTCAGAGTAGAACTGTTCTTCACAGAGTTTTCAATGGCTGAGTTTTCAGAAGTAGCCTTTCTTTTGAGGCACCTCTTCTGAAAACTTTTCCATTAGCGGCTGAGTGCATTAACCATTTGCCCCACCCATGGACTCCTGATTTGGGCCCATTGATACAGTGCAGGAAGCTGTGTAGACTCCTAAGCCTGCAATGGGCTGGCACCCATGGACCTAGCCCACCCATGCTAGGGTTGAGAGCTTACCAGAAGAAATTGACCAAGTGAAGAGCAAGATGTTTGACACTGTGAACTGGTATAGATTGTTGCAATTTGATGGCTTGTTCTGGACTAGACTTTGCTTACAGATGCAGGTGCTCAAAATTCTAATTGGAACAAAAGACATGCTTGTCTCCTTAGAGTACTATTTTTGATAGGGACAGACTATTTAGAAATTGGCTTTGTAAAATGAGGGGGGATAAAGGCATGAAGTGGCTGGCTTACATGCTTTGGTGCGTGTGCTTACACTCAAAATGAGGAGGACAAGGAAGGATCCCCACTGAATAGTTTCCTCTTTTCCTGATGGGTCTGGGAAGAGAGGGTGGGTGAAGATGCTGATAGGATTATATGATTCGCTTGTGAGTATTAATTGTTAACTATTAATTGTGATTATAAAAATTGTAATTGTGAACACTGTAAATGTGTAAGAGTGGACTAAGAAGGAAGCACTGCTAGACTAGAGTGTAACGGATGAACCTAGCATCCCTTTACGGTTTTGCTATGCTGATACTTCATGAGTCTCAGAGCAAGGGAATACTCTAATCTCAGCTAAGTTTTATCAGACACCAGAAAGGTTGAAGACGAGATGAACTTTTGGAGAATCTGACCAGATCAGATGGACACCTGGAGCAGACCTCAATGTCTGGTACCTGAGTAACATTACACTGAGGACTCTTTGCCCTACTAAAGGACAAATTGTTAAAGACTGTTTGGGACTGATAAAATGATTGGGAGGGGAAGGTAATCCTTTGAGTATGAAAGGTACCACAAATTTGTTAGTTTGTCTAACTGTGGTGGCTTGGATGTTGGTGTGATGCTGGAAGCTGTGCCGCTATTTCAAATATCAGCAGGGTCATCCATGGCGGACAGGTTTCAGTGGAACTTCCAGACTCAGGCAGACTAGGAAGAAGGGTATGACAGTCCATACCTCAAAAAAGTTGGCCACTGAAAACCTAATGAATAGCAGTGAAACTTTGTCCGATATAATACTGGAAGATGAGCCCCTCAGGTTGGAAGGTACTCAAAATAGGACTAGGGTAGAGCTGCTTCTTCAAGTAGAGTTGACCTTAATGATGTGGATGGAGTAAAGCTTTTGGGACCTTCATTTGCATAACTTAAAATGAGAAGAAACAGCTGCAAACATCCATTAATATTTGGAATGTGGGATATACAAAGTATGAATCTAGAAATATTGGAGTCTGTCAAAAATGAAATGGAATGATCAATATCCTGGGCATTAGTGAGCTGAAATGGACTGGTATTAGCCATTTTGAATCAGACAATCATATGATTTACTATGCCGGGAATGACAGATTAAAGAGGTATGGTAACACATTCATTGTGAAAAAGAACATTTCAAGATCTATCCTGAAGTACGGTGCTGTCAAAACCAAACCAAACCAAACTCACTGCCACCGAGTTGAATCCGACTCATAGCAACCCCCATTGGATTTCCAAGGCTGTAAATCTTATGGAAAAAGATTGCCCCATCTTCCTTTTGCTGAGCAGCTAGTGCGTTTGAACTGCCAATCTTCTGGTTAGCAGCCAAATGCCTTATCCAGTATACCACCAGATCTCCTTGCAATGCTGTCAGTGATGGGACTGGGCAATCTACTTCTGTAGAGATATCGCCTTGGAAACCCAAGGAGGGGTCACTATGAGTCGGGACCAATTCGATGGCAGTGAGGTGTTTTTTTTTTTTTTTTTTTAAAGGAAGGTTAAAACTACTATTATTCAAAGTAACTCACCAACCACTAAAGCCAAAGATGAAGAAATTGGAGTTTTTATTTTTTAAAAAAACCAACTTCTGTAGTCTGAAATTGACCAAACATGCAATCAGGATGGATTGATAATTCTTGGTGATTGGAATGTAAAAGTTGGAAACAAGAAAGAATTATCAGTACTTGGAAAATGTTGGTTTGGTGAAAGAAATAATGCTGGAGATCGTATGATATAAATTTGTGAAACCAAAACTTACTTATTGCAAATATCTTTTTTTTCCAACAACATAGATGGTGACTATACACATGGACCCCACCAGATGGAATACACAGGATTCAAATCTACCACCTCTGTGGAAAGAGACAATGAAGAAGCTCAGTATCAATAGTCAGAATAAAGCCAGAGGCTGACTGTGAACACGCCATCAATTGCTCATAATCAAGTTTCAGTTGAAGCTAAAGAAAATTAAAACAAGCTTTTGAGAGGCAAAATATGACCTAGAGTATATCCTATTGAATTTAGAGACCATCTGGAGAATAGATTCGACACATTAAACACCAGTGACTGAAGATCAGATGAGGTGTGGAATGGCACCAAGAACATCATATGTGAAGAGAGCAAAAGGTCATTAAAAACACAGGAACATTAAAAACATGCAGACCTCTCAACCCAGGTGACACACTCACATACTCTATGGAAAAGCGTCCCTTGGAGCAATCGACCACAGGCACCAGAGGGACAACATTCACATGGAGGAAATGCAGGACAAACAGGAGTGCATATGAGGGGCAGGAGAGGGGAGGTTACTGGGCAGGAAGGGGAGAAGACTGGGTTAGGGTTGGGACAAAAAAAAAAAGAAAAAGAAACACAGGAAAGAAGGAAAAGACCAAAATGGGTGTCAGAAGAGACTGAAACTTGCTCATGAATAGAGAGTAGCTAAAGCAAATGGAAGGGAGCTCTGGTAGCATAGTGCCTAAGGCACTTGACTGCTAAGCAGAAGGCTGGGGGTTCAAACCCACTGGCCACTCCTCGGAAGATGGGGCAATCTACTTCCATAGTGATACTGCCTCGGAAACCCAAGGAGGGGTCGCTATGAGTTGGGTCCGACTCAACGGCACATGACAACAACAACAATAACAAAGCAAATGGAAGAAATGATAGCATAGCTGAACAAAAGGTTTCAAAGGGTGGCTGGAGAAGACAAAGTAAAGTATTACAATGAAATGTACAAAGATCTGGAGTTAGAAAATAAAAAATGAAGTACATGCTCAGCACTTCTCAAGCTGAAAGAACTGAAGAAAAAATTCAAGCTTCAAGTTGCGATATTGAAGGATTCTATGGGCAAAATACTGAGTGATGCAGGAAACATCAAAAGAAGATGGAAGGAATACACAGAATCATTGTACCAAAAAGAATTGGTTGACGTTCAGCCATTTCAGGAGGCAGCATATGATCAAGAACTGATGGTACTGATGGAAGAAGTCCAGCTGCACTGATGGGATTGGTGGAAAACAAGGCTCCAGGGATTGATGGAATACCCATTGAGATGTTTCAACAAATGAATTAAGTGC